GCGTTGCCCCTCCCCCGTTGCGCGTAAAGGGTGGGGGCGGGGGGGGGCTGCGTGCTGGGGTGGGTTCTGAGCCTGAAACACTTCTTCCTCAGGCATCTGCGGGGACTGGGAGAACCATTTCACAGTGGCGCAGAGCGAGACCTTCGACAGGATCTACCAGGACAGGATGCAGGACCTAAACATGACCTTTCCTTGGGACAGGCATTAGGATTTGTCTCTGTCTGAAACCAGCTAAGCACTGGGTATAAACCAGCCACCGACAACTGGGGTAACTGCATGCTGTAGGACAGAGGGGGTTGTACCCAGGGCTGCAAATGGTACTGAACCCCAGTGTGCAAGCAATTAATTTAATAGAATCATAGAATCATTTAGGTTGGAAGAGACCTTTAAGGTCATCGATCAGCCGTTAACCTAATACTGCCAAGTCCACCACTGAACCATGTCCCCAGCTGTCACTTCTACATGTCTTTTAAATACCTCCAGGGATGGTGACTCAACTGCTCCCCTGCACAGCCTGTTTCAGTGTTTGATAACCCTTTCAGTGAAGAAATTTTTCCTAATATCCAATCTAAACCTCCCCTGGCACAAATTCAGGCCATTTCCTCTCATCCTATCACTTGTTACCTGGGAAAAGAGACCGACACTCACCTTGCTACAACCTCCTTTTGGGTAGTTGTAGAGAGCGATAAGGTCTCCCCTGAGCCTCCTTTCCTCCAGACTAATCAACCCCACTTCCCTCAGCCATTCCTCACAGGACTTGTTCTCCAGACTGTTTGTTGAGCAGCTTTGTTGCTCTTCTTTGGACACGCTCCAGCACTTTCTGCTGCACTTTTGCACCCTTTCTCCTTGGGAGGGCTTTTTCTCCTGGCTTGTGCCTCTCCTCTCTGTACCATCCCTCAATCCTTTTTCTCCTGAGGCAGGGTCTAGGGTGTCCCAGGGTAGGACCCACCTCCCTGCCCTCCAACACATTGTCTTCTGCAGGCAGAGGAGAGTAGCACATTCCTGAGAGCACACAGATGAAACACATCCTTCCTGTCACATCCACTGTCCAGGGCGCCTTGTTTGGGAGCTGCAACCAGCTGAAATGTTCTCTTGGGGTTGCTCATCAAGCAGGAGAACTGCAGGGAAAATGGGGAGGGCTGCTTGAATGGAGAGAAATTTTGGGTGTGCTGCTAGTGCTAGCAAAAATGGTGAGATAGATAATATTAATAATAAAATCTGAGCAAAAGCAAGGCTGGCTGGCTGCCAGACCCTGGGGACCTGAAAGCCCAGTCCATCCTTTGCATGGGATGGGTTGAACAGCAGGATGGCAAAATATCCTCTCCACTTTCCAAGCCAAGAATGAAAACTGAAATGCATGGGACATGTCCAGGATGGACATGCACGGTCAGCTCTAGGGCCAGGGGTGCTGTACAAGAGTTTAGGAAAGGCTGTGCAGACAAGACAGCATGCCATCGCACCTCTCTTGGTCCAGCCTGATACAGCCTAAACCAGGTGATGGATTTCAATGAAGCAAGGCCAGTTGTGCAAGATGCGGTGGGATTTAGAAGCACAGTCTTGTCCTTGTGCTGAAAGAGGTGCAATGCAGGATGGGCTCTCCCTGGGGACCACAGCCAAAACCATCCCAGATAACCAGACTTCTACAGGATTTAGATGATTGTCTCCACAGAGTGGCTTTGGGGAATCAAAGAAAGGGAAAGACCTTTGTGGACCTTGCCCAAGAGATGGCTCTGTGGTTTGCATACCCCCAAGCCTCCACAGAGGCCGCAGGGAAGTCCAGTTCCTTGCAGTGGTGCAGCTGCCAAGTACTGCTTGTAATTAATGACAGCCTAACTTCTTGCTAAAGGCAGCCAGGGACACCAGGGGCTGGCTCCAGTCTTGGCAAGACACTGTCCAGAGAGGGAAAGTTGTCCCAGGGACAGAGAGTCATGCCGTGGTTGGCATGTCCATGTTGAAGTCTTGAGCAATGTCCCAGCTAGACTTGGTGCAACAGTCCCCCTTCCCCCCCACCCCAACTGAACGTATGAGGAGGGGATAAAGCCAAAGTTAAAGGAGAGTAGGATGTGGGAATGGACATGGAGTGCTGTCAGGCCCCCAAGGACCTTTTGACAGTGCCCCCCACGGGACTTTTTGACAAAGGGCTGGGTTGTGTTCAGTGTCTTGCAGAAGCCAAAATACTACTTTGAACTATGTGTATTGATTAAATAGTCAGTAATTATAAAAGGAACTCTGAATGTCTACTAATCAGATGTAGGCACTGACATTACAGACACCCAGGAAAGTTCTCATTTGTCTAAATATAGACAGTCACCCACTACAGAAAATTGCTAGTCTCTGTTTATTCTTGTGCCATATTTATAACCTGATGAAGATGTCTTAGATACTGCAGCATCGCTCAGTGCACATATCCCACCCATCTTGCCTTTAGAGATGTCAGGGTATCAGATAGAGGCCAGTGGGATGTGCTATGGTGTATGCAAAGGCTTTCCATCAAAGACGAGACAACTAAAGGGCTTTGCTGGCTTTGGGAAATAATGTGCCTTGTACGTCCAGAGTTACTCAAACTCCTTTTCAGCAGAAGAGCCCAAAGAAAATCAGCAAGTACAACTGTTCTAGCAAAAAAGAGTTCAGTTCATGATTATCTTTTCTCCTCCTAACTCACTCTTAAATGCAAAGCCCTCGTTAAGCTGTAGTAAGTAATCGCTATGCTCAGGGAACGTGTTTTTATGGCCTCCAGAGGGAGAATGCAAGCAGAGTGTGCTTCAGTTCTCTTCAGATGCATGTCCTCAGATATGTGAAGAGCATCCTTCCCATCTCTACACACTTACACCTTTTCAACTCAGATCAAACAGCTGCAGTTGTAAATTTTACCTTGCCACAGGGCGCAGACATCAGGTCCCAGACAAAGTATCTCTTCCTTAACTAGTTTCTCGCCTATTCCCTCTGTGTTTACATGACATGCATGCTAATCCTACCCCACCTACCCCTTCCAGACCAAACCATTTCCCCAGGGAAAACCAGAGCCCAGCTGAGGGACAGTTCACACCAGAGCCCATCCTAGACAAGCTGTGCAGAGATGTATCAGACTACTTTTACCTCTCAGCTCCAGCTCTAGTGTAGCCAGCTCTGCCTCCCCACGCACACGCTTCCCTGCCGCTCCTCAGTGTAGTCAATGTCTCATCTTCATTCTATAGAAAACAACTCTCTGGCAGGCTTAAAAAAACGTAATTCCTACTACCTCAAACATTTTGAGCTGAAAAACAATGCAAATATATCCTCAAGCATGGGACAAAGAGCCCATCCAAACCAAGCACTGTGAAGAATGAGCATAGCTGGTCCCCTTTGTGTGGTGCTAACCCTCAGCAGTGTGAGTATGAGCTGGTTCATGCCTTGGCTGCATGGAGTGGTCCACAGAGCCATGTTCAACACAGCAGGTCCGATGATGAAAGGATAAATGGTTGAGTTTTTATCCTAAGAATGCCAGTGATATTAAAGCTTGATCCTGGCATGCCTAAAAAAGTGATGATGTTATTAAAAGACAGCATGGACACTGCTTCCCTTGGAAGAGGTCGAGTGCCTGGTTAAATAAATAGCAGGTCTTTGCTGCTCCATGTTGAGAACTGGCTGACAGCTATGATGCTAAAGCAGCCCAAGTTACTGCCTTGCCTGGTGCGCATGCACAGGACCAGTGTATGGCTGAAGAAAAATCAGGAAATTCAGGTTATCTTCAGTGTCCTGAGGAGAGGTATTAGGGCTGGGCAGGACTGTGTTTTCAACAGGTCATCAGGGAGAAAAGAGGAATTTGGTTTTGATTTTTTGGTTACTCCAAGTAAAGCATTCTGGGAAACTCCAGAACATTTCAGGAAAGCCACAGTGTGTGTCAAGAATTGTCACATAGTGCAAGGGATACCACTCCATGCAAGAACCCTCATGCACAGTCAGTTGCTCCAAGCCTCCCTACGTGGTCAAAATTAGACTTTGATCCACTTCGATCTTAGGAGAAATTAATGGACAAATAAATGAATGAATGAGAGAAAGAGAGGAAAAAAATAGAGGAGGGAAGGAAGGAAAAGAGGCAGGAAGAGAGGAAGGAAGAGGGAAAAGGGGGGGGGGGGAGGAAGGAACTGAATTTTAGAAGATTCAGTCTAAATTCAGTTCCTGGAAAAACACTGAGCACAAAGCCAATTCTTCTATTTGTGGCCACCTAGAAGATAACACACAAAGTGTTATCAACGAATACAGGTTTGTTGGGATTAACTATCAAGTGAGTAATTGACTGTACAAATACAAACCAAGAATTACCGGCCAGGCTCCCCACAAGTGGGAAGAACATAAGGATCAGTATCAAAGCACAACAGGCTGTGGCTCAACAACCTATGGGTATTGCAAAAAAAGCAAACCTCACCTGAGACTTCTGGAACAGGGGGTCCTCCCGTGTACGAGATGTCTTTGTGACCATTGTCTTTTCCCAGGAGTGCTGAGGTCTCTGCTGCACATCAGTGGCTGGGTGTATACATCAGCTATCAAGAAGGGTGTTGGCCAACTGTTGGCCTGCTGGAGCCTGGCCAGAAGGCAGGCAGTAACAGCTATCTAAGTATAGAAAACAGGACAGAGATGAACAGATTGAAAAGTCTTCAGTGAGCAAAACTGAAAACTAAGCAAACAGATGAGAACAGTCTTCAGATGCTAAGATACAGAGCTCATCTGTATTCTCCTCTATGACGAAAGGCTGAGAGAGTTGGGGTTGTTCAGCCTGGAGAAGAGAAGACTCTGGGGAGACCTTCTTGCAGCCTTTCAATACTTAAAGGGGCCTTATAAGAAAAATGGGGACAAACTTTTTAGTGGGGCCTGTTGTGACAGGACAAGGGGTAATGGTTTTAAACTAAAAGAGGGGACATTCAGACTAGGTATAAGAAGTTTTTTATGATGAGGATGGTGAAACACTGGAACAGGTTGCCCAGAAAGGTGGTAGATGCCCCATCCCTGGAAACATTCAAGGTCAGGTTGGATGGGGGTCTGAGCAACCTGATCTAGTTAAAGATGTCCCTGCTCATTGCAGGGGGCTTGGACTAGATGACCTTTAAAGGTCCCTTCCAACCCAAACTATTATATGATTCATCTGCTCTCAGCTGGATGCAATGCTCTCCTCCACCACACACAGCTTTGATACTGAATTTAATATGGACCTGACTCAAACTTGGACTGATGCATGTCTTTGAGAAGACCATGGTCCTCAGTAGCCTGAGATTTGTATTTATTCAGGCCTGCTTTTCTTGCCCATCACCTTCACCTTTCATCTGCTGGACTGGCTGTTGCAAAGAACAGACTTGCTACCCCTATCCTCATTCACCTTCACTGTGAGTTGTCACCCACTCCTACCCTCCATTTCTGCCAGGGATGCTCTCTCCCTATCTGTCATCTTCAGAGGGTATCTTCACACTCCTCCTTGGCATGGAGAAGACAAAGGAGCTGTTGCAAGTAGTCCCTGGGTTGTACAGTCTAAGCAGAGGAGTACCTGAGAGCTGCACAAACTCTTGTCTGTCCAACATACACTCCCCGGGATGAAAGATATTCCTGTGTGTCTTCAGAGGTAAAGCATATTTTCCGTATGATCAGCTGAGCTATTTTGAACCCACCTCTATTCCTAGATGATGTAGAGCAATGGTCCTGTGGGCCAGCCTTGCCCAGGTAGCTAGTGCAAATGCAAAGAGGGGTTCAAGGATTGTGCTGAGTGGTGGAGGGTGCAGTGCAATTCTCCTAGCATCACATCACTTTCCCTTCAGAATATCTGCCTCCTCAGCCAGCCCTGGGGCATCTTCCCCCTTAGACATCTCTGGTATGGGTATCTGAGTCCAACACCTGGCTGCAACGGCCTCCTAGGAGTGCTGATGATCTCTGCTGAACATACAAGGTATGTAAATGCATTTTCCAGATAGAGAAGTTGGCACAAGGTAGATCCCACCCATGATAGCATCATGTCCCTGCAGCACCATTTCCCTGCTTGGCTATGTGACTGTCTGGGTGATTCAGCCTCGTAGGGGACCTGGGAGCCTGGCTCTGCCATCCAGGAACAGAGCATCCTGCCACTTGCACATCTGGCTTTGTCACGACTGGAGGAGGTCTCACACCAGCCAAAAAATTAACTGGACTGTGAACACACACAAACCTTGCAACAAAATTTCATTAAGTCTTCAAGTATCTTGTGACAAACATGGGGAAAAAAAACCTGGAAAAATCTTCCACTTTTAGAAGTTTTTCAGCAGTGGGAAAAGGTTTCTTACATCTTTTCATGCTGCATTAGCGACATGGGATCATACCCATTTTCCCAGCTAAGCCCAGGCACTGATGACCTATTCTTGCAGCTGTGTGAAGCCAGTCCCAGAAGACAAATTGCAAAACCCTGTCTCACCCCCATCACCCCACTGATGGTCCAGAACTGGCTGTCCTGAGAGGACTTGTTTGTTCAGCAGATTCTCGAAACTGCCCAGTTTCACAATCCTGCAGCTTACGTGATGCTCATGGCACAAGAGTCACTTCCTGGCAGATACTTGGCTTTTCCTGCTTGCTGAGCACCTGCCACGGGGCACAGAGGGAGGTTTTTGGGGTGGAGGGGAGGAGCCGTGACAAGGGAGACTTCTCAAATACCCAGTCCCTTGGGTGCATGTTCTGCCTCCTCCCTGCCCCGCTCTCCCGTGGAGACAAAGAGCACACTATCTTTGCTACCAACATGAGGCTTGTCCTCCTGGCATGTCTCTGGGGTAAGTGAGATGGGATTATTTTCTCTTTGCTTTTGGCTTGACACCTCTTTGCCAGTGGTTCTCCTCTTCCACTACTGCTTCTTCTACAGCCCATAGCACAAAGCAAATGGGACATTGCAAGGAACTGAAATGCAATCAGTGGTATTGATCCATATCTGATAGCTGAGTGTGGACACTCACATCCCCTCAGATGTCACTAGACAGTCACAGGTGGACAGCTAGATGCTGCCTCACCTTGGCACTAATACCTAGACACCTTGAGAAGTGTCTCATTTGAGAACTGAATCCCAGCCCTCATAAGCAAAGACAGCAGCACACAGGGTGGGGTTTCCTCTCCCTGTTTCTCTACTGTGGGTTCCTAGCCTGTGGGGGTTCATAGAATCATAGAATAGTTTGAGTTGGAAGGGACGTTTAGAGGTCATCTAGTCCACCTGCTCCTGCAGTGAGCAGAGGCATCTTTAACTAGACCAGGTTGCTCAGACCCCTGTCCAACCTGACCTTGAGTGTTTCCAGGGATGGGGCATCTACCACCCCTCTGGGCAACCTGTTCCAGTGTTTCACGATCCTCATCATAAAAAATGTCTTCCTTATATCATCCTTTGTTCCCGTGCATCAGGGATGAGACCAGACGCGGTAACAATGGGCAGAGGCACTGAGTGTGCTCAGTGGCTACTGTGCATGGGTAGGCACTGCAGGCTCCCAACATGATATGTTATCTGAATGCAACTGGAATTTAGAGAGAAGAGGGATAAGCATTAGGCATCTCAACCCATAAACCTTAAAAGTAGCTAAGAAAAAAAAAAAGGCAGATGGAAAAAAGACTTACCGGGCAATAATGCTAAAGCTTGTCCTGGTGTCAGCAGTTCTGCTCTTGCCTGAAGCTGTTGGTCAATGCTTGGGATCTTGCCAGGCTGTTGCATTTAGGAGCAGAAATTTTTTGTGTTGAGCTCTTCTTTGCTGTTGACCTTCTACAGTGGGCACAAAGTCCCCTTCCCCTGAGTTTCCAGGAAAAACAAATCCTGGCAAGTTTTTCCTCAGGCTTTTCCTCACAGGGTTTGCCTCAACCTCTAGTTAATCCTCAGGGAAATCTTCTGAATGGGAATAACCTCTTTGCACAAGTCTCCAGATGCATTCCACCTTGAAGATGCTTCTTTACACAACTCCATTAGCAGGCCCATAGCTGTTCCCGTGGCATTTCGTTGCTGCCATTAATGTCTGTAGGACTGACAGCAGTCCTGGGGTTAATTTTGTCTGGTGTCTGCCTGAAGTTCAGAGATAACAATGCTTCTTCATGGTCTGGCCCTGACTGAAAGGACAAAATAGAAATGCCATGCTGCTTGCAACTCATCACATTTTCAGCAGTTTCATTCAGCAGTGTACCTCTTGCCTGGCTGTTGATAAGAGCTGGGTGTCACATCCAGAGTCTCGAGGCAGAGACAAGCACCTCCAGCCACAATTCGACAGTCTGCTCTGGACGCCAGCCCTAGGATGAGATTGATATGCATCAGCCATGATGCTGGCTGTCACAGGAGCCTACATAATCTAATCTAATCTAATCTAATCTAATCTAATCTAATCTAATCTAACCTAACCTAACCTAACCTAACCTAACCTAACCTAACCTAACTTAACCTGTCTGGACACTGACTTTCAGGTGCCTAAATGTGGACAAGAGGAATCCCAGCTGCTCTGTTATGGCATTTTCA